CCACGGCACGTTTACAAAACGGGGCCCTTTGCTCCGGCGCCAGCTCCGCCAACCGGGATCTGAGTTCGCTCAGGTACTTGTCGGCCAGACTTTCAGTGTATGGACAAAGCTTGTCGACCAAGCCATCAATCATGGCCGCCTTGGACAGCCAGCTTGTCCCAACCCTCGCTGGCACACCGGCGGCCGCGCATACCTCCGGCAAGGCGGGTCCATGGGCCGACGCTGCCTTCACCTGGCTTGGGTTTAGGGTCTGGGCTTTTGCGATGTACGAACACCCCGCACCCCGCTTAACACTTCGAGATATGAGGGTAAAGACTTACACGTCTGTGCTTTTGGAATGCACAAAGCTCCTGGTGTCTCCCACCCCAGCCTGCAACTTGTCCACTGCACGTTTACAAAACGGGGCCCTTTGCTCCGGCGCCAGCTCCGCCAACCGGGCTCTGAGTTCGCTCAGGTACTTGTCGGCCAGACTTTCAGTGTATGGACAAAGCTTGTCGACCAAGCCATCAATCATGGCCGCCTTGGACAACCAGCTTGCCCCAACCCTCGTTGCCACACCGGCGGCCGCGCATACCTCCGGCAAGGCAGGTCCATGGGCCGACGCTCGCCAGACTTGCGGTGACAGGGCCGCTCTCAGAACTGCTACCAGCGAATCAAAGAAGCACACATGCAGCGATGAGACCACTCTCACAACTGCTACCCTGCCCAAACTCTACTCGCCAACGCCCGCTAACGCATGCGACTTTCCAGCCACGGCAGCTCCGGGCGTCCGCGGCGTACTACGTTTGTACTACAAAAGTCGACTTTCCAGGAGAGGAAGAAGAAGAAGATGCGCAAAACCGCACAGCGGGAGCGCTCCGACACGCACGATCCCCGCAGAGGGTGCGCGGGCACAAATCAAAATGCGCAAAAACGCACAGCGGGAGCGCTCCGACACGCACGATCCCCGCAGAGGGTGCGCGGGCACAAATCCAAATGCGCAAAAACGCACAGCGGGAGCGCTCCGACACGCACGATCCCCGCAGAGGGCGCGCTGGCACAAATCCAAATGCGCAAAAATGCACAGCGGGAGCGCTCCGACACGCACGATCCCCGCAGAGGGTGCGCGGCGACAAATCCAAATGCGCAAGAACGCACAGCGGGAGCGCTCCGACACGCACGATCCCCGCAGAGGGTGCGCGGCGACAAATCAAAATGCGCACAGCGGGAGCGCCCCGACACGCACGATCCCCGCAGAGGGGTGCATCGCGCTAGCCGCGGCGAAACCCACCCCAGCCTAAGAAATAAGAGAGAATTTAATAGAGGAGGTGATGTGATGGTACTGTGGTGATGGTAGTGTGGAGTGTGGTGATTGGAGTGTGGTGATGGTAGTGTGGTGATGGTAGTGGTGATTGGAGTGTGGTGGAGTGTGGTGATGGTAGTGTGGTGATTGTAGTGTGGTGATGGTAGTGTGGTGATTGGAGTGTGTGGTAGTGGTAGTGTGGTGATTGTAGTGTGGTGATGGTAGTGTGGTGATTGGAGTGTGGGCTAACGTTTTTTTTCCGAAGAACCCTTCGCTGAAGCTTTCGGGAAAAATCTAAACCCTACATTTAACGTCATTTAACTACATGACTTCAGCGATACCCAAAACTACTGTGTTGTAGTTTAGAGCAGTCACACACAAAGGAAGAAGAGATCCTCGACGTCGTCACCCAGCCTAATGACAAAGTGTTTCTTCATCTAGAACTTATCACCGGAAAATCACACCGAATACAGACTTTAGCGAAACCTAAGACCGCCGTGGTGCCTAAACGGGTTTCGGCCAAACCTAGAGCCGCTGTGGGAATTTGCGGTTTACCCTTGGCACTTAACACCTAAACCCCAAGCCATGAAACCTACCCCACCCCCCTAAAACCCTTCAAGAGTCCGAGAACAAAGGCTGTCTGAAAGCCTACTCTCACACAAAAAACTAAAACCCTCCAAATATTCCGAAAGCCAAAGCGAGGATCGTAAACAAATCCAGAACTGTCATTTGAGAAACTTATCCAACAGATAAGCCTAAACCCCAAACCTCCCGGCAGCAGCTTTGTGTTGCTCCGGCCGGCTGGAAATCAAAGAGCTTCACCTCAAGAATAGGCCCTAAGTAGGAGTTTTTAGTGAGCCCTTACCTGTGTCTGCAAATGTCACAGCCCAGCTTGCACTTCGTGAGTTACGACATGGGCGGGGCATGGGTGTTTGGGGCTTTGGGTTGGCGTAAAACAAAACTGAACCCTTTCAGCCCTGTGCGGACGGCGCAGGCCCACCTCCCCGCCCCATTCTACGTCGGGGCGTGACATGTTGTGGGCACAGGTCAAAGTTGAGGGTTTCGGGTTTCCTCACCTCTAATCCCCTCCCTGGCATGGGTACGTTTTTGTAGGCGAGAGGTGTGTGAGAGCAGGCCCCCCCCAACGTCCGGGAGATGCATTGGGCCAGGCCGAGGCGGGTCGCGCAGCGTGAAAACTCTCCGATGAGGTGCTAATTCATCTAATTCTCTTCGCCAGACTTTCGACATTGTACCTTGGCAAGCTCCGTACAACAGCGACTGAAACTCATGGGCCCAAGCGATGTGGGGAGCCCGTTACGTATGCATGCATGCACGCATATATGTCACATGTGACATGTGTATCAGTGCGTAGCCAACCATCTAACCATCTACCGATCTACCTCCTTATCCACCTCTACCGATCTATGATACCTTCAGCTTCTCGAAGCCTCTTTCTGGGGTCTCAACCTCTCCGCTGGGGCAGCCGGCGTTGGATCTGTGGACCTCAGAGCCAGAGCCAGCACCGGGCTCTTTGGGTGTTGGGAGTACAGAAAAGGCGACAAACTGGCACGGCTAGGGGTTCAGCGTCTATCAGGGGTGAAGGTCTCTTCCGGGGGTAGTTCAGGAGCTTCGGAGTGGTTTCGTGAGCACTTTGTGGTCGAGATCCTGCACTCAAGCTCTGGTGATGATTATCATGATCCTGATGTAGGGCGGTGATGACGCAACGATGGGGGCCGATAGTAGGCAAAGCCCCACAACCCCTAAAGGCCGGCCCTAAGCCCCAAGCTTTCGGGTCTGGGATCAGTCTGGGATCCTGGGTTTAGTCGCTCACACTCGCACAAGGCAGGCAAGGTTCGTTGGTCCGTTGAGTCATACCACTCTATATACTGAACGCCAGATCCTGGGTTTAGGGATTAGGGTTTCGAGGCCCTGACGAAGCACAGAACAGTAAGTAAAGCAGCGAAACCCAAGCGGGTCATGACAAAAAATCCAGGACCCGTTACCCCAAAACCCCGCCGGCCCCCTCCCCCCCGAACATTCCTCGCCTCCACCTTCTTCGTCTTCGAATCGTCAGAGATGTTTCCCCCGACGAGGCTGGCGAGAGGGAGGACTGCGGCCTTCTTGCCTGGGACATGATAGCCGCAGTTCAGGGTTCAGGGTCCTGTTGATTTTGCAGTTTAGGTCGGGGTTCAGGGTTTAGTGACCATCTTGCTTTAGGGTTATAAGGGTTTGGGGACACAAGGTTCAGGGTTTTTGTTTCAGGGCCGGGGTTCAGGGTTTAGGAATCAGGATTTCTGCCTGGGGTCCGGGGTTTAGGGTCTAGGGTTAAGGGTGCTGCTTGAGGGCGGTGGGTTTTCAGGTTGAGGACTTCACACCTTGCTAGGGTTTCAAACCATACTGGGGCTTTCGGCTGCTTGCTTCAGAACCTTGAAGCTTGAAGGCCTTAACCCTATAAACCCTAAACCCCAAGCCTTTATAGAGGTTCGATCTGAACCCTCATGTCGTATTCCAAGCGCCACTTCCGCTGCTCTTGCTGTGAGAGGACATGCGGGGCTCGGGTATGCGTATACCTTTCGATCTTATGGCCTTGGGGGTTGAGCTTTGGGATGGTGATGCTTCTGAAGATTCACTTGGAAACGATCCAAGATCCTGTTTGGGTACCCTAGATATTCGGTTCCGTAGTATGTTAAGGACCCAAAGAGGGACCCCAACCCATGTGACAGAGAGACCTGTCACGCATACGATCGTTGATGCGAGGGCTCATGAGGCAAGGGTCCCGCCAAAGTTGTGCCTTATAAACCCCAACATGGGGAACGTACAACTTTCAAGAGGAAAAGCGCCTTTGTGCATGGAATCGTACATCGGTTAGTTCACTCCGCGTGGGCAAACCCGTGCCTATGGCGACACGAACCGCGGTATGATACCGTCAAAGGTTTAAGTGTTTCGGCTCTTGGTTCCTTGGCTGTGTGTGGGGAGGGTCGGCTCTCTTAGAGTAGCTGCTGCTGCCGCCATGTGGCTGTCTCTATCCGAGTGAGACAAGCTCCTTTTCATGTATCATGCAGAGCTGGATGACACTAGTACGGTGGATGGCTTCAATGTTGGTGCTGCATGGAGGGCTCTGGCCGAATGTTATCTTACACTGTTGCTTGCAGTTTACCTGGAGCATGCCAACCCTTCAAGGCGCTCAAGAGCTGGCGTGTTGCGATGGAATCGCACCCAGATGTCCCAGCAACCACATGCCGTGTGGAGAGCCAATATCATGGCACGTTTCCCACTTCACCAACAGAAAGCTGCAAACAGAGGATACCGTATCCTCCTCTCGTTCTTTCGACAGGAAATGCACCACGATCTACACAACTGGTGGGCGGCCCTGGACCCATGTGCCGATCACAGTGACTACTGCAGTGGTGTTTTTGGAGATCTTGCTGGATCAATTGCGGTCTGTGTGGTTTGTGGGAGAGGAGCTGGCCAGATCCATGGTACGAGCAGTGGACAGAGCAGTCCTTGGGCGCAGCCGAAGCAAGCTGCGTTGGATATGCCAGTTTCTGGAGCGGGAGTGCGCTATCAACATGCTCCAAAGACAGATGGAAAGACAGCAGCCTTCGCCCGATGTATCCTTGCTGCTTGATGAAGCAGCCGACTCTGAAGCAGACGCGAGCAATGATCCAATGGTGCAGCCATCAAGCCCGCAGGAGCCACCCAGGCGACGTCGACGTGTCCATGGTGGGGTGGAGCCGTGAAGTTCGCAATCATGTAGCTTGTGACAAGGGAGGCCTTGAGGTCGTGGACCTGGCTAGATGGAAATGTTTGCCGCCTGTAGGAGGCACACATGCAGGTTGTCCTTTCCTGGGGAGTCGCAGTGGTTCCCTCCTTTGCACCCTCCGCACTCCCCCTTCTGGGTTCCCTAAGCTGCTGACTCCTAGTCCCTCCCTAAGTACACCTTGGCAATCCCACATGGAGATGCTGGCCGACGCCTTCCTTGCATCCTGGGGTGCCTCAGGTGCAGCGGGGGCAGGAGGCCGGAGCTACCGGTTTCTGCAGACTCACCGAAAGTTCATGCAGCGCCGGCTGCAGGCAATCTGTAGGGGGCTTCTGGCTTGTAAAGCTGGGGGGCTTGCTGTGCTTGCGGTAGTGCATGACTGTATGCAGACCGAGTGTTTTCCTGCGAGGTTATGGATCATTTGTCATCCAAAAATCCTTCAGTCGGATGACAAGCGTATGAGTGAGTGCCAAACTGCTTCTGTGCTGCAGTGCAGAGGCTCTCTGTGCGCCAGTGGGTTTCTGGCATCAACTTGCACAGGAGGCATGGCGATCCCTGAAGTGCTAAGAGGGTTGTGTGTGACTAGTTCCCACTCTGCGCACGCAAATGAGCTGAGTCGGCCATATGCCCCCTGTGCCGCAGAGGCATTGTGTAATGTAAGTGCTGCCCTACTCAGGTCGCTTTTTCAGACCAGTGCTTGTGTAGACACTGCAGCCGCAAAGGAGGTAAATGGCTTCACTTCCCTGCACTGTTCCCTGCGGTGGGGACGGATTGCGCGCACTCATCCTTGGGCCCGCTTTAGGCTTAAGCTTGTTCAGAACAAATCTAGGCGGAAGGGCCGAGCTGCAAATTCCTGTATGAACCAATGCGCAGCATGCTGCGTTAAGTGTGGCGTGGTGACGCAAGGCAGAGAATCGAAGCGGTGCCTGAAGTGCTACCTTGGCACGCTGTTTTCTCTTGGCTATGTTTGTGTCCAAGCCTCTTGCGCAGCCCTCTTTGCTCCACTGCACCGTCGTAGACTGAATAGATACACTTCCATATGTTCCAAGACGAAAGGCGGGAATGCTCCCCTCCCGAGAACCTACATCACGAGCCGCTCCGGTCCCAACTCCGGAGGTGTCTGGTTGTTGCTCCACCTGCTCCTTCTCCACACCGTTCGAGCAACGTCTATGGTCCGGATGGACCAGGACCCAAGTGTCTTGCCAGGCACAAACATGAGGGTTGATGCAATGTACCCGGTTGCGTCTGAATCAGGATATAGCGTGTCAGCAACGTTCCAACGCTCTGCGCCTGAGAAAAACGGGTGGGAGCCCTGGGAGCGTACATTGAATCCTTCTACACCCATTCCATCATTCACAGCAGGTCGTAAAAGGGCCTACAAACGTGCTGTGCGGCGTGCGCAAGCAAATGGAGGCACTCTCTATAGAGGGAAGTGGTGCACAGTCCAGTGTCTCAGAGGCCGATACAGAGCCGGTTTGCATTCCAAAGTACAAGGTGTGCAAAAGCCCGGATCTTTTCTCCGTGAGGCGGGCCTTCTGCCAGAAAGCATCAGGCCACACATAATTTGCCTGCAGGAGACGCACTGGAAGCACAGTAGCGACTTTGCAACATATGGCTGGCATGCGATCTCCTCAAGCCAGGCCAGTGAAAGCAAGTCTGGAGGCCTTTTGACTCTCATCTCCATGGAACTGGTCCCCCCGTGAGGCCAGTCACCACATTGCCTCTGCCGAGATTCTACCGGGTCGGCTGCAGCACGTTCGCATATATATGCAGAAGGCAGCATATGATATAGTAAACGTGTACCAAAGCGTGGGGTCGGGGCCAAAATCTCCTATGCATTATGAGAGTAAAAGACAACAGCTGTGGTATTCCCTCAGGCAACTATTGAACAAGCTGCCGGATCGAAACAGCGTCATTGTTCTGGGGGATTTTAATACACAATGTGAGGAATGTCATCCTTTCATCGGGCCCTGTCTCTATAATGCCTCCAGCGATAGAGACAATGACTGGGTCTTCTTGAAAGACATCATATGTGACTTCAAGCTTTGCCTGGCCAACAGCTGGAGCAGAGGCTGTGGGCCTACCTATGTCTCTGAGGCCGGCTGCTCTCACATAGACCATATCTTCATCAAAGGTGATGCTGCGGATGCAACTGCCAAATGTGCAAAGGCTCTATCCTGCGACTTCTTCCCATGGAGGGATGGAGGCAAGCATCTGCCAGTGGAGGTCTCATTGCCGAGGCTTCAAAAGCGGTACAGCGCTTTACCGCAAAGGGTAGCGGCCTGGGATACGAAGAGCATGATACATGACTACCTGCATGACCCTCAAGCCACTGAGCGTTTCCAACATCGTCTTGACTCCAAGCTTGCAGGTGCCCCAGCAACGGCGGAGGCGTTAAATCAAGCATTGGCAGAGTGTTGTGCTGAACTGTACCCGGCAGTGCCTCGCCCCTTGCCGGCTCCACAACCCTGGAGGTCATCAGATGGCACTATGGCAATTCGCGCCATGTGGGATAAGTACAGGGCCTTCAAGCGTCACAGGCCAGTGGGCCTGTTTTCCATCCTTCAAGTCTGGCGGGATTTCGCATGCTTCAAGTCTGCGCATAGGGCAATGAAAAAGAAGGGCAGTCAACTGCGTAGGCAACGGCAGAAAGACAAGCTGCTGGAGGCTGAAAAAGCGGTGGAGGCAGGGCAGACGCATCAGCTCTACAGTGTTGTCAGGCAGCTAGCGCCTAAGCAAGTTCGCCGGAAAATCAAACTTCGCAGCCCGGAAGGTGATTTACTGGATGGTCAGGGGGAAATGGCTGTCCTCCTGGATCATTGTAGTGATGTTTTCTCCGCTTCTGCGCCGGATGAAACGGTGTACTCAGTAGATAGCCTCAAGGAATATACTTCACAGGCTGACCTGTTGCGTAATCTGAAGCAGACACCACTCCGCAAAGCTGCCCCGCCGAACGCAGTGCCTGCTGTCGCGTGGAAACTGGCGGGTGAAGAGGGCTGCCTTGCTCTAAACATCATTTTGCAAGAATTGCACCATGAAATACCCCAGCCGTGGAAAGACGCCTGGCTTGCAATGATACCCAAAGTTGCTTGCCCTAGGGTTCCACGCGACTTGCGTCCTATAGGTCTTCAGGATATAGGAGGGAAGTGTGTTATGGGGGCACTACGTGATGCCATATTGCCGTTCACCCTAAAGTATGCTGACAGTTGGCCGCAATACGCGTACTTATGGGGGCGATCGACGAAACAGCCTATTTGCAAAGCCTTTGAGCATTGTGCAGCTGTGCGTGATGCACTGCAGCGCAAGACCACCTTGCATGAGCGCAGACAGGGCGTGATGCCGGTTAATTAAGGGATACATTGGTGGTGCGCAGGTTAGCGTTGACATGTCTCAGGCCTTTGATAGGTTGGACAGGCGAAAATTGTTCTTGGCCATGATAGATGCTGATATCCCTGCGCCGTTGTGTCATGCAGTGCTTGCGTGGCACCAAAATATGCACTATCATCTCAAACACGCGGCGGCTGAGGGTAGTGTAGCAAGTACCATCGGCGTAAGGCAAGGCTGTAAGGTGGCGCCGCTCTTATGGGTGATTTACAGCTGCTATTTTTACAAGCAGGCAAGTGCACTCATTGATGCCGCGTGGCTGAGAAGCAACACATCTTTTTTCGCAGATGACCTCCATTTTTTCACACTTGCCCGCTGCACAGGGGATCTTGACTTGTTCTTGTCCAGATGTTCCATCCTCTTCGAGTTGTTACTGGACTTTAACATGCTCATCAATTATAAGAAATCAGCCCTGCTGCTGCGCCTCAAGGGGAGTGCTGCAAAGAAGTGGAAGCATCGCCACCTGGTGCGTGCTCCCGGACAGGATTCTCTCAGAATCCGGGTTGCCAAACAGCATGTCTTGCTTCCAATAAAACAGGTGCATAAGTACCTAGGGGTTATGCTGTCATATATCAGCTTTGAAAAAGAGACTGTCCGATATAGAATGCAGCAATGCGCTG